GAACTGAGCCTCACTGGAACATTCAGAAGTATAGAAATCCTTCTGTAATCAATGCCAGCAGAATGTTTTGCAACAATAAGGTTGCGAAGGTCTTGAGAGAGCTTTTTGCTTGTATATACAGGTGCATCTCAATAAATAAGAATGACGTGGAAAAGTTCATTTATTTCAGTAATTCAACTCAAATTGTGAAACTTGTGTATCTTACGTTAGTAACCGAGTACGTTCCCTATCAATACTTCACTTGTACTACGTCTGCTTAAGACGCTATGTCGAACCAGTACAATCCCGCCGTGCTATGATAGAGGAATGACTAATACTTGAACTTGCCTTGAGCACCAATGGGGCCCAGAGGGACCAAGTATTTTGCAGGGAAGCCCCGCAGGAGGCAATAGGGCCAAACTCGTAGAGGTCGGCCCGGCGCTGAGTAATCGTTCCAAGATAAATTGTACAGCCTCAGAACCCAGTGGGGGCCAAGAGCGTACAGTGAAGAAGGCAAACGCCTGAAGCACTGGTTTTGCCATATGGCCAGAGTAAGTCCGTTTAAGCAGAAAGGACCCGAGCCTGTAAGGCCGGGATATCCAGATTATAAAACCTGGTAAATGTGGACGGCGAGGCCCAGCCGGCCGCCGCACAAATTTCTGCAATGGACACACCGCTAGACCAAGCCCAGGAAGAAGCAACGCCTCTTGTTATGTGGGCTCTTACTCCCATGGGGCATTGTAGGCCCAAAGAAGAGTACGCTAGCTCGATAGCGTCGATTATCCATTTGGAAAGTCTCTGCTTCGTGACCGGAGACCCTCTGGTGCGGTCACCGAAGCATACAAAAAGCTGTTCTGACTGCCTGAACGGGGCGGAACGCTCAATATATATACTCAATGCTCTGATGGGGCAGAGTAAATTCAGCTCTTGGTCCTGCTCCAAAGGAGGAAGCGCCGAAAGAGCTATTACCTGTGCTCTGAACGGGGTCGAGATTCGAGGCAGGTGGGGCTCACTGAGAGCACCTGCAGATCCCCCATATGCTTTACTGATGCTAACGCCAGTAGCAGAGCGGTTTTTAGCTCCAGGGGACGAAGGTCAATGGACTGTAGTGGCTCAAAGGGAGGGCTCTTCAGAGCCCTCAACACCATGGGCAGGTCCCATGTAGGGATGGTGATAGGGCGAGGCGGGTTGAGCCTCCTAGACCCCTTCAAAAAATGAACAACTAGGTTGTTCCTGCCCACCGACTGGCCAGTTATAGGAGCGTGTGAGGCTGCTATGGCTGCTACATAGACCTTGAGCGTGGAGGGGAAACGACCCTTATCCAACAGCTCTTGCAGGAAGTACAATATCAGAGATATGTCGCAGGAAAATGGGTCTGCGACGCGGGCCGTACACCAGGCGGAGAAGACAGACCATTTAAGGGCATAGAGCCACCTCATAGAGCTGACGCCAGGCGTGGGATGGAACTCGTGGTTTCAGCCAGTACTGAAGAGGCCGCATGCGAAGCAGGCTCAGCTGAAGTACCGGAGATGCAGAGGCCATGAGGCCCAACATCTTCTGAAATGCCTTGAGAGGGCGAGGGGCTCCAACTTTGAATGAGGTCGCGAGCTGCCGAATAGCCAGTGCACGATCTGGCGCGACTACCACCCTCATTCGGGCTGAGTTGAGAACTGTTCCCAGGAACAATATCCGTTGGCTGGGGGACAGCGCGCTCTTGGCAAAATTGACCCTGAGTCCCATGCATTCTAAGTGGCTGACAATTAGGCAATATCGCGTTCATTATCGCAGGCGATTTAATCTGCGATAATGAACACGATATTGCCTAATTGTCAGTGAAATACGGCTCTGTGTAGTAAATGCCGCTCCATCTGAAAGCAGGTGATGGAGATTTACTACTAATTACGGAACCGGCTTTACTGACGAGATGCGCATGACAATCGCATGCGATTAATTGAAGAGCCCTAGTAGGCCGCCATCCTTTTTGGGGACGAGGAAGTATCGGCTGTAGAAGCCTGACTCACTCTGAGCTGGAGGAACCGTTTCTATGGCTCCTTTCGCCAGTAAATTCATCAACTCGGCGCGCAGGACGGGTGCATCCTTGCTCTGAACTGAGGTGGAGACCACGCCGCTGTATCGCGAGGGGCTTCGAGCGAATTTAAGTGAATAGCCTCGTTTTATTATCCCCAGAACCCATTTTGACACTTTGGGGATGGCCTGCCAGGCCTCGGCCCACGTGGCAAGGTATTGGGTTGGTTTGAGCGACAGGATGCCTTGCAGGGACCCAACGCTCGTGATAAGCGGAAGAGGAATTTTGCACTCTTTTTGAAAATGTTTGTGTTTTATTTTTCTCGCTATAACAGCGATCGGTTGTGTGGACACTAACTTAACGGGCCCAGGGTTCACAACAGTATTTACCACAAATACATTGCCGTCAGCACCCGGAAGTGAACGGGGTGCTTGGAGGCACAACAGAGGCTGCTTGGGGGGTGGTCCGGCGATGGCAAGACTTTGCCCCCACCTCTTCCTTTCCCACAGATCAGGTTGACGTCTGAGGCGCTGGGTCCAGCACTACTTTGAGCCGGGGTCCCTGGTAGGGATGGGCATATCGATCCAAAGTATCGATACTCAAACAAAAAAATATCGATACTAAGGTGTGTTTTATTTACCAGTGATTTTGTTAATTTATCAATATATATATATATATATATGTATATAATGCGTACGATATGCATTGAATTGGACGAATAACCTTTGTTAGCGAGTAATTGTGCCCTGGTGCTTAGGGAATGGATAGCGTCTGGCCGAGCGGAAGTGATGTCTGGGCTCAGGCTTAGAGGCTGGCAGTGCAGCCGATGATGCGGGCTTTGCGGGCTGCTGAGTCGGCGCAGTCTTGGGGCGACTGGCAGCAGCTGTAGACCTGGAGCACTTTGGCAAGAAGTGTCGCATTGCCTGGGACGACTTCTGCGCAGCGGTGAAGCGCTCAGCGAACCCTTCCACCGCAGGTCCAAACAGGCCAGAGGGGGAGACCGGGGATATGAGGAAGGGGACCTTATCCGCATCCTTGATCTCCGTGAGGGTCAACCATAGGTGGTGCTCAAGCACCACAAGGCTGGCCATGGATCTGCCGATCGCCAGATCAGCGCTGCACGAGAGACAGTAGCGGCGCGGCATTTGAAACGACGCCGGAAATTTGCTCAGAAATTTACTCTTATAGTAATCGCTGGATAGCGGCAGGGGACAGGGAAGACCACAGCTGCTGCAGACGTTGAAGGCAGCTGCAGAATGGCGCAGTCAGCCGAGCAGAAAGGGGTCTTGATCCCGGCGAAGACTTCGAGTCTCATAGAGCAAAGATCTTGCAGTCATCGCTGAAGGAGAAGAAATCTGAGGATCCTATGGCGAAGTGCCCGCTTATATAGCCAGATGCCCCGCCCATTCTGGCGGGCTTTGTCGCCATAGGCTCGTGCAGCTCTGCTGCCAAGCCATTGGTTCATTTTTAATTCACTGCATGAACCAATGGCCATACAGTTACACTGCATTATTGAATATATTGATAGGGAACCTAAAGTCCCCATTCTCTGCCATTAAATTGGCAAGTGCAAGCAGGACATTTTTGTGTTAATTAAGTAGTAAGCCTTTAGAACAACATTAAGGTGAGTAGCCTAATCACTCTAGTTCACACAGTTCCAATAAATTGCGATGGGTTAAATAAACTCAATAAGCAGACAGACTCGACTACAGTCAAGCACAGAACAGTATTGAAGTGCACAGGAAATACGCAGCAGTCATATTTAAAGCAGTTTAAATATGCAGTTTAAATTAATATCAATTACTGATTGATGTTCACTTGGATTTTTTCCCCATCAAGGGGAAATAACTTAATACTCTGTCATTTATAGTCGTATGGTAAAATGTATATTTTTATTTGTGTAACGTCACAGTAGGCCTATGTATCATGAAAAAAAAAGCGACTTTACAGTCTGGAAATACGCTCGGCTGTAGCAAATTATTTCGCGGACCCCCTATCACTTTAAGAACCTCTGGTCTACACAGAAGAAAACCCTGTATAGACTCTGCCCCGGTAGACTCTGCCCGAGTTATGTCGAGCTATTAATTAGTCTGTTTGATGAAAAAAGATGAAATGAAGTTGCAATAAATGCATTAAGAATCCGTACAACTGCAGCAGTGGAGGACTGTTATTCTGCTGCGTGATACTGCGGAAGAATTGATGACAACACGGTTTGATCTTCGGCTGACCAATCAGCAGAAAGGGGCGTTTAATTCCCGCCCACATGTAGAAATCGAATATTCAAGCTGTTTATTAATGTTCTACCCCTGAACGAAAAACGAAAATTTAAGCTGAATTCTCATTTTTCGTTTTTTGGGAAAAAACAAAAAAGGAGCCGTTTTCAAATTTTTCTGCTTTCAATATTAATTAAAAAAAATACGAATGAATGAATGATACACGGATTCATTGCAAATCAGCATCAAATAGAATTTTAATTCTTGCAGACGTGAACCTTTTCTGTACAGAAGCTGTACTAGAAATGTTCACATTGACATACAATCCAGAAAGCATCCTAAAAGCTATAATTTTCTAAGTTGTTTAAACAGAACTCATATTACAAAAACACTAATGTGTTCTCTAACTAGTTGCTCTGACTTTTTTTTTTTTTAACAAATTAACTACAAGTCTAATAAATGACCTTGTCTGAAAATGCATACTTCTTACCAGTTGAAGAAACAATATGCAAGCTCTTATTTTCTCCACTGACTCAAGAATCTGAATGCTCAGTCACCAGATGAAGACATATTTCTAAGTTTTGGAAAGTGTGGGGTCCAACAGACGTCAATGGGACATCAAAATGATACAGGGAATCCTTTGAATAAACCTCAGGGTAAAAAGGATTCTGGAAAAGAAACCCAACTCCTGTAATAATTACAAAGAACTGTGCTGCAAACTTGTGCATGCCATACTTGACGCGTGCTGACGTCAGAGCGCAGCAGCAAACAGTTGATTTCTCCAGTTCTGCCGCCTGCCTCAACACAATATATGCGGTGGTTTATGGCTCCTGACTGCGTGATTTTTAGCACAAACGGTATTACCCGTGTCAAAATACTCTCGGTGACTGTGAGATCTAGAAGCCAAATAAACAAATCCGAACTGTATGTACTTAGAAGAACCCTAAATGCACCAACATGTCTTTATAATGGGGAATGGCCTCTAGTGGAAGCACACATAAACACCCACTTGTCCTTACACGCTGCTTTCATATTAAGTCCCGAACGTCCTGCCTCGACACTATAACATAAGAGGATGTCCAACCCTGAGAAATGACGCCCCCATTCCCCCCCTGAGCAGTGGGAAAACACACTACAGCAGTCCGGAGCAGAGCAGCTGCGCCAGAGTGCGGCGCAGCCGGGGTGGAGATACGCGAACGCCGCCGCTCTCAGTGCCGTTCTCCGGCTCCACTTGAGACGAGCCCTCTTCTCTTCGCCTCTTGCCTTCATTTTCCCAACGTTATACTAGGAGAAGAGGACGTGGCGCGTCTGCATACTGGACGTAGACACTAGCCTACCGTGCGCATACGGGGCGCGTAAAACACGGCGCTCCATACAGACTTGACGCGCTTTGATGTCATCCGGCGGTTCAGGGTCGGATCGTTTCATTTATAACATTAAACTAGACGCATATCATATCAAGAGTTATCATTACTCGCTTGCGGTCAGACATGGAAGATGGTCCGCCTTCCACAAGCTGTTTCCGAAGGTTCACGGACTGTTTCCTTGGCTCAAGTAGGTATACTTATTATTTCCCTTGCGTACTAGTAAGAAAGGGTGTTGCAAAATGTAACGTTTCTGTTGCGCACTTGCACTGCGTTGCGGCTGCATATTGGCAAACTTTTACATTTATTTTCCAACGGGAAGTTTGGCTGGCAATATTTGCGCAACGGCTGCAAGATAGTGTGAGTGATTATGCCCATTACAGTCACGTTGTTTACATAATTGTCTGTCATCACCTGTTATGTGCGTTTAGATGAAGTTTTTAGTGCAGTAGCTGGGTGGGGACATACATGTGAGAGAGAGTGATGTCTCATCATTTGAATTAAGTATTAGAATGAATTTGTTTTTGTGATTTCCTCTTTCATTTAAAATGCACAGTGAGGAGACACAAGTCAACTGTTGGCTATGTATGGAATGTAAATTAGCCAGTGTATTTTTTATTTATTTTTTGTTAAGTAATCTAATGTAGGAGCAAGCCAAGAAATGCAGAGACTAAACTGTGGTCCTGTTAGTAAAAATAAATAAATAAATAAATTCCCCTGGTAATCAATTTAGTCGTTGATTAGGCTACCAGTCAGCGGCGGAATAGCAGTATTTACCCTGTTGTTATATGTCTACATTTACTAATAAATAATACGATTACATCACATAGTAAGCAGATGTAGAAAGTAGAAATCTCATGAAGGATCTTTAAAATGTTTTTATAGATGAAGCAAGACTTGTTGGATGCTACATGTGCTTTTAGTCTCAGTGTCTACTGTCTAGAAATACACATTTGGAGATATATGAACTGCAATAATAATGCATGCACGATTCTGAAATTAGCCACTTTTATTTCAGAGATTTGTTGCTTCTAACTGTACCCATAAATTCACTACAAGTGTATTAATTGCTTATTTTACAAATTTCATGTGGCATTTTGCCTAAAAAATTCAAATGCACATATATTTGCTACCATGCAAAGACATAAAGCTTGATTGAGTATTCCTCTCAATGCAAGAATACACAAATGACAATTGTTAAATTATTTTGAAAGAAACCATATTGAGCAGTTGCAAAGCTGTTTCTTTTTGCATGCATACTGTTCATAAGGTTAAGCAGTAAACGTATCTAAACCTTAATCTTTCCAAGTTAAAGCTTTAATAACCTAGTCCATTGAAAATATAGTAACTATGCCAGTCACTAAAAAATTAAAAATCCACAAAAGCAGTTAGTTGGAAAATATGGAACCATAATGCTGACACAATGTAAAGATGATCTGTTGCACACTTTGATCAGATGCCACAGTATTGTATCAGAATTAAAATATTTAGATGAAACTTGGAAGAGACTTTGTATTTTTTCAGAGCTTCACGTGCAGATTAATTATTTGATGTTGTCCTCAGTGCATAGTAGCTCAAAGTGTGCGTGCAGGACAACAGTGTTGAGATGATGTTTCGGTGACCTCTGATGGATATCATGACAGAATTAGCATTGAATGCATTGACATGAGAGCACAGTGTAAGCTGTGTGCAGTTCTTCTGATGACAGGCAAGCAAGAATGTCACGGGCTTTACATTGCAGTCTCAGTGGATACATGCAAAATTCATACTATTCATATTGTAGAGCATTTTCTTTAAAATGTTATTGCCAAATAACAGGCATAAAAGGCCAGAAAAGAAACTCTCTATAAACTTCTGTATTTGCCATGCATCTATACAGTACTATATGCACATTCATCCAGGAAGTGGCAAAGAGGTACAGTGTGTTTATTTATGGGCTTTATCATCATATTTTCCAGAAAATAGACTTTATAATATTAAAAGGTCAATATAATAGTCTTAATTGGTTTGCTTCAGAATCCAGATTTCTTGTTGTAAATCAAGTGGTATTGAAATATAAAAAAAATAAATAAAAAATCAACACATTAAACTTTATTAATATTACAGTTAACTGCACTAACCTTATAACAAGACATAGGCTTAATAGGAACACCGATATTTTAATTTTACTTTGTTGTAGTAAGAGTGTTTTGGTTTCCACATGTCTCATGAATTACGATGGTTTGATAATTTGCGGCACAGAACACACTGGTCTGCACAAACCATGTTTATTCACATTGCAAGTCAAGCTCTGGGTTGTATTTTCCCTTACTTTGTGTAGTTCTACTCATGGTTTTCAAGCATGTCATGCAGCCTCTGCATGTTGGCATCTGCCCGAATTGAACTAGTTTCTACCTGGTGATAGATTAATTTGCTTTAAAATATTGTAGATTTTGATTCGACTCGTGGTCTTTGACATCAGCAGCACAGACATGGGACGCCTGTTTATTTTGCTATGTTAACTGTATAGGCAAATACATTTAGTTGCATTTTGTCTTTTACAGTTAGTGTTATTCCTGTAGTCCACAAATTAAAAACAGACCTACAGCCTAGTTTTTGTTGTATTATATTATTTGTATTCTTTCTGTGCAGGACAGAGATTACAATCAACTTTAATTCACAACCTATATACTATATTTAAATGTTGCACTACATATTTGTATGGGTATTTTTGTTTTTATTAGACATGATATTCTGAAATGACAGGAAAGTGGAGGGAGAGAAAGGAGGAAAGAGACTGGGACATGACACATGCCGCATGATTTAGCTAAATGTTAACAGAATCCAAGCAAAACCTTCCAAATCAATATCAGTCAGGGAACAATGGAATAAAAAGACTCATTCTGGAGGAAAAAAATATTATTTTACATTAGTGTTACTGCAGTGCTCTGTGGTAAGAGTGCAGGAGTGTAGTGGTGAAGATGTTCGGTGTGTTTGGGAGCTTGCGGCTGGTTTGTCATTGCATCTCTCAGAGGCAGTGCTGAGTCTGGGCTTCCTGCTGCTGTCTGCAAGGCTGCTGATATCAGCAGATCACCACACGCAAACAATGGGAATACAGCATCGTTTTCTACTTAGCATTTTTTGGCAGGTATCTTTTTTGGATTATTGGATTATGGAAGTCTCGTTAAATCACGCAAACCGAATCACTTATATGCAAATTGATCACGACTAACTGTAGTCACAGTCTACTTGTCCGATTCACAATTGAATGACTCTGTAACACTTTACAATAAGGTCCAATTTTTGCATTTGTTACCGTATTTATCTTTGTTAACATTAGCCTAGTTAAATACAACTATTCATTGACTGTTCATGTTAGCTGAGGTCCATCAAATAATATTAACATATACAGCTTTTGATTTTAATATTGTAAATGTTGAAATTAACATTAAGTAAGATTAATGCATGTTTTAGAGATGTTTTTCATTGTTAGCTCATATTAACTAATGTAGTTAACTACTGTTAACAAGCACAACCTAATTGTAAAGGATTACCAATGACTCTTATGAGCCAGTTCCCTTTAAAGAAATAGTTAGAAAATCTTACCAATCAGAGTCATTTATTTATCATTTAATTCATACATTTCTTATGATTCCCCTATAAGGGTGACTTTGGGGGTTAGAATTTTATTTTATGGTTTCATTTTATTTATTTATTTTTTTTTTTAAATAGGATCCCTGCATTATATTCAAAAACATTTTAATACTAAGTGCACTGTATGGTAAAAGTTAAATAAATGTGCTGAATAAAGCGAAACGACCCAAACAAACAAATTTGTACCCAAAATTGTATTTGACAGTATGTAGTAAGATGTTATCTCACCCATGCAACAGATTAGATCTGAAAACGTTGTTAGGTCTTATGACGGCGTTTTATCGGAATGTCTGGGACAAGTCATGCTACCGGTGGTGTGGTGTTGTTTTATATCAGCCCTGCCCTAGCGTATGTGATGGACCTCTCCACAGAGGCCGTTTTTGAGGCTACTCCAGGTCAACACTAATGTGATCTGACAGGTCATCTACAGAGTGCTTAACTCAATGAAGAACACTGCATTGTCATGCAGGAAGTGCTCATCGAAGACACTTCCTCCCCCAGCTGGATGTCATTTAATCATCCCAGTGAATTCCCTTCTCAAACGGCCTTTCACTGAACACGAGTCAGTGAAACTGCTTCGCCTGATATACATTCAGCAGTCTGCCAGACGTACAGAATGTCGAGACACACTTTTGAAATTCTCATTAGAAAGTCCAGCATCGGCCAGTGGACAATTGGACAATTTGACAAGTTTTCAAATGTATCTTTTCTTTCTTGATTTATGGAGGTAGCAAGACATTAAGGAATGTGTGTTTGCATAATGTCCTATCTATTAAGATGTCTTTATCTGGTCTTTTGAAGGCATTATTATTAATGTGTCCTTTCAATGCGATATCCCACAATCCTGTTCATATGGTTCACTTTTTGGTGGAAAGAATAAAACGATGTCTGATGGAGCAGTTAAAAATAAGTTATTTTTTTCATTTTATGTTTAACGCTCAATTAAACTGGTTTTATCATCAAAACAACACATTGGATCATTAGACGTGGTATGGAAGTTTCTTTAGGATGTGCCTTAATACACAAACAGTGCCACTGACTTCAATTTATAGAAGTTATATATAGTTAATATATTTTAATTTCAACATCATTACATGTTTTACAAATATATTTAGATGCATGACATACAAGGTTTAATAAAAAATTACATTAAAGTATTTTTTAGTTTACCTTCAATGCCTGTCAGTGCAATCAGCAGTACACTTTAACCATAGTTCAAAGGCAATAGAAGTAACAATGAAATTACATGTAAAGATGTACTCGAGTCCTACTTAACTGAGTTAAAAAGCACTCTTAAATTCAACTAATCAAGTCAAGTCAAGTCAAGTCTGCTTTATTGTCAATTCTTCCACATGTACAGCACATACACACAGAGAATTGAAATTGCGTTACTCTCAGACCCTTGGTGCATACAGATAACACTAACAGTAGAACATAAATACAGATATACAGATTAAATATAAAATACAACTATACAAATATACAAATAAGGTAAAATGTAAAAAAAAAAAAATAAATAAATAAAAAAAATAAAAAATAGGTTTTAATCCAAAATTG